ATAAGATAGTAAAAGAAATAAAGTATACCGTGTTAGAAAAGAATGGAGCGTTTATTGGGCTTTTCAGAGGGAAATGCTAGTTTGAAAAAGGAACACAGTGTAACAGTAATTGTGTTTTAAATTATGTCAGAAAAATATTGCTAAAAGTTCTTTAAAATCTAGTTATATCAGTTGTTGCAATAGTATTGTGGGATGTTTTAAGCATGAAATTGCTTTACAAATAGCTTTTTATAGAGACTTGTGCTGTAATTGCAAGAACATGGGAAGGTTGTACTCATTATACTTTAAAATCTGTAAGCAAGTGAGATTTTTTTGTGCCTATTTTTCTGTACACGTTGTGAAAACCTCCAGCCTCACAACTTTTAATTGTAATTACTGGTACTACACCGTTGAGAGAACTAGAAGTACAGTGTGGGTCTAGTAGTGTCCGTATGTTGGCATGCAGATCTGTCTAATAGAGATGCATTGAAAGGGAGCCCGACGTGGGATTTATTACCAGTGTAACAGCAAAGAGACAGAACCAGTACAACTCCTTTACTAGGCATTACCTATAAGAAAGATGGGGACAAAAGGGGATGCAGCAAAATTTTTCAATGTGTCTTTTGGTGCTTTGACTAATGAAGTTCCTTTGAGTGTTACTGCAGACGCACGCAGTTTGGTCAGCGGAGGCTTTACGGGTCTTATCTCCCTGTGCCAGCATTTCTTGAACGCGGGCCTGAAGCTGAAGCAGAAGTTCTATAGCGAGCCCAGATCTCCCAGGGAGCTAATTTGGGTCTGAATTCCCTGTTGCAAGGGATTATTATTGCTTAATCTGCTAATAATGTGGCAGTCTAATCAGGTTACTTTACTTCTGCATGCTGATGCATTAAGGCTTCATTCTTCTGTAGGAAAAAAAAACAAAACAAAAAAATTCCCACTGTGTTCTGAGAAAGTAAGTTTGGGTTTGCAGTTTGCTTGATGTGTCAAAAGAAGACTCAACTGTTTTATCTTTCAGTATGAGAAACAAATAGAGATTTTAACATATCAAGGACAACGCTATTAAGACATCATAAAAATCGAGCTGATTTGTTTAATTTAGAAAGTTGTTTCCAAAAGTTTGTGTATGCTAACTCAGGTTATTGATTACTGTTAATTCAGTGACAGAACAATTTTCTACATGGTTTTCTAACCGAACGATGTGCTGTTCAGCAATTTCCATTCTGTTACATTCCCTCAAACAGTACAGACACTTGTCAGGCCAGTTTAAGATTAATTTTAGATTTTTTTTTTTAAGGGGATTTTACATAAGAAAAGGGATACTATGTTTATTTGTTCATTTCAGTTGTGGAAAAGTCCAGAGAAATATTATATTCTCCAGTAAATGTGCTAATAAAAATTTCCCTTTGGTGTTGTCATCTGGCACATGATATCATTTGAGTTATAAAAAAGATGAGTGAAACTGCCTGGAAACCATAATTAAATCAGTTGATCAAATTGCGTGATCTAGATCTAAGCTAAGTAAAAAATCAAGAAACCCACCAACCCCCAAAGCAACAACTTAATAAGGCTAAGTTATATTTTAGCCATTTTACTTTTAATCCAGGGTGCTGGTAATAGTACAATACAGTAACATTTTAAAGTATGTGACAAGATTTAGGACTTGGAGTTTAAAATGATCCTAGTAATGGTTGAGTCTATGATACTGAATTCTGCAGTTCATTAGTAAATACAGTGGTTTGTTATGTAGATTTTTTAATGATACTTAGGAGAAACACTCCTATTGTATAGTGCTGTGTTACTGCACAAGGTTGGGTAGAAGGTAGCTGGTAGTGGAACTAGCTGAAAGAGCAGTTTAACAGAATTTGCTGTGATATTTCCTAATTACTGTCTGATGCTAATGAAGAACTTCAGTACTGGACTAGATCCAAATGATGTGGAAACCTAAAATAGCATTTTATAGATAAAAGTGCTGAAGTTCAATACTGTGATACTAAAAAAAAAAAAAGACCTTGTTCAGTGATTCATGTTTATTGAACTGTGCTGGTGGGTAACTTTACTAGGTATCTCCCTATTCAGTCTTCACTGGGGAGCACTCGTATCTAGACCCAACCTCGGGCTGAGCGGTTTGGTGTCCGCCTTCTGCGCGGGTGTGATTTGGATCAAAGGCTTCTGCGTGTGTCTTAGTGTGTTCTGGGACTGCCGAGCACAGAACGGCAGGCTTCTTGCACAAGCCAGTTGGGACCACGTTTTGAGCATTTGCACCTGATGGTAGTGTCTGGTGAGGTAGGACTCCTCGTTTGGTTTAGTGCTGACCCCTTTAGTACAGAAAACAAGTTGTTAAATCTGACAGTCGGAGACCGCCTGTGGATTTGTGATGTATTACAAAGGACTATCCTGCATCCTTGATGCCATCTGGCCAATGATACATATTCAATTAGAAAACCAGTACTCTTAGACCAAGCACCGGTCTGCTGGGCGTGCCTCCCACATTTTCTCAAGCCCTGCAAGTATTGCAAGTCTAAAGAGTGATAGCACAGCACTATTGATAACGTCCTGCTTAATGGGAAGTTAACGAAAGGGAAAATAATATGATACTGTGCTAGGAATAAAAGTATCAAGCCCAGTTTATTCTGAAGGGTAGTAATGCAGTGTTTAAAGTATGATGGGACAGAATGATGCAATTTCTGGTGGAATTGACTCATCTGTGAGAGATCCAGAAAAATCATATTGCTGCCCTGCAAGTTACTATATCTACAATAATTAATACAGATACGACCTTTTTAAACATTTTAATAAATACTGATAGATTGCTTGTGCCTTTTTGACTGTAAATATCTTTTGCTTATTACAGCTAGAGAAGGATTTCAGACCTACAGACAAATACTGATGGAGTTTCACTTGTGCAGCTGTGAATTGAGAGACAATTGTTTCATTTTAACGTAGTCCCTGAACTTACTACTAATTACTGGAACTGAGAAGCTGCTCTAATTTACATCAGTGGAACAAAAGGAAAAGAAAAGTTTGAAATGTGACTAAAAGTAGTGGTTGAAGTACCAGATGCTGTGGTTTATAGTCACAAAGTTCCATTAGGACTGCTTAAGTGCTTCAGCTTTATGTATTACTGGTGTTTGCATTCTGGTTCTACCTAGATATCTCAGTCACTGCTAAGAGCTACTGAACCATACATGGAGTAGAAGAGGAAGTCCTTTGAAGAGTTTACAACCTAAAAGACAAAAGAGATAAAAAGAGGCCTGGAAGACATTCATTCAGCACAGATAAACAAGACAGAGTAAAAGGATTTCTCTGTTGTCTTAACAACTGTCCCCATTATACTGTTTTGTCTGTAGCTCATAGATGTGATTTTTTTTATAAGAACTGGTATCAGACAAAACGAAGCCTGATACTAGTTCCACCACATTCCAGAAGGAAGGTGTATGGGACCCTGGGCCCTTCCAGTGCCAGTGGTGAGCACGAAGCAGATCACAAGCCAGTGGGCTCTGCTGCACTTAAAAAATGGGGGCTGGATGCCAGAGCTGGAGGTGCTGAGAGGAGGCAGCAGCAGGAGGCAGGGGGAAAGTGAGAAGGCAGTGACGGGAATCTAGGGTATGAATGAAAAGAGGTTAGAATGGAGTTTAGTAGGCAAGTGGAGTGAAGTTCAACTTCCAGATCCATGGAAGCTATTGAAAAAGGTCATTGTCCTGTGGGCCACAAGGCTGGTGATGGTACTTGTGGTGACAGAGGTTTTAGTTCTGTTGTTGTGAAGTCTCGCCTTGATAAGCTGTGGGCTGGGTTCCAGTGGCTTAACATCTTTCCTTCTGGTCTGTCACTGAAGCAGCCATGAGGTGCTTGATCTCTCGATTACTGTGCTAACAGTCCAGTCATTCCTTGCAGTTCTTGGCTATGTGCAAGTTCCTCAGAACATGGTACAGCCTTTGTCCTGTGGAGCAGATGTTTTAGCAAGTCCTTAAGTAAAAGCTGAAAGGTCTTATGTATCCCAGGGTAATTTCTGATTCTCATCAGTTAGCAGTTTTTGATTAGACTCCTTGTGTATTCCCTTTTTAGGGTTTTCATGAAGCTTAACACATAATCTAAATCCCTTTTAAGACTCTTAATTGTGCAGATGGCTTTGCACATACTAGTTTTGTCCCATGTGATTAGTGAAGAATTTCTCAAAAAACATTCCTCCCCAAAATCTTATGGTTACCTTCAGTATGGCAGCTGCAAGCAAGTCGATCTGTCTTTTTAAATGATTCATTGTCTTAAAAGAAAAACACATATTCAAATGGAGGCATTTTTGTGTCTGCACATACACTTTTGAAACAGCAGGCTTTTTAAATGAATTTGGTTATGGCTTTTCAGATGTTTCAGATCTGTTTAATTATTTCCTGTTTCTAAGAAACTAGCTAAAGCATCAAAGCTCATAAGAGATGAGCATCTCACCTTTGAAAATATGATTGTGATTATATATTCCTTGATGAAGAATACAGGAAAATAAGTCACCCTTGCTTTTGAAGCACTAGGTGCATCCTATATATCAAAATTTTAATTGCTGGATGGCTTTCTGAAATGATCTGAAAAACTTAATCTACTTTGTTTAAAACATTTTTAATAAATTCAAGCACAGCTGTTAAGTCAGGAAGTAATGGAATTGGGCGCCTAAATTTTATGTGAAGTGCATATTCTATTATGCCTGGTAAGAAAAATCTTGTTATGCTGTAAAATATAAGCAATTAGCCTATCAGTCTTTAGGAAATAAAAAACCAACCAAACAAACAAAAACAAGCAAAAAAATCCCCCCCAAAACCCCTCAGCAAGTGAATGAAATGTATTCTACATAAATGTTTAAGACCAAACAGTGGACTTAATTCATACAATTTGGAAGTGGTTTAACATCCCTTTCTTCTCTTTTTCTCCTCTTGTTAAATCATTGAGATAAGCAGAAATGGGTAAACCAAAGCATATGATTTCTAAATTAAGTTTCTTCTGCATAATAGTATAATATACTTTTTTATTTTTTTCACAGATACTTTCAGTAGAAAAAACGTTCAGAAACGGAAGTCCTTACTCTTGATTCCCTGGTATCAAGGACTCGTCAGGCACCATCTTCAGTCTATTTCTTCAATATTTTTGGCCAAGCAGAGGGAGAGCTTTCTTCAGCGCTTGTCCATCTGTCTCAGCTGAACTTGACTTCCTTACTGTTTTTCTCACATTACAAATGCCTAAGAACAGCAAGGTAGTGAAAAGAGAACTAGATGATGAGGTCATTGAGTCAGTTAAGGACCTTCTCTCTAATGAAGACTCTTCAGATGATGCCTTTAAGAAGAGTGAGCTTATGGTTGATGATCAGGAAGAAAAAGATGTAGATGTTGAAGAAGGCTCAGATGTAGAAGATGAAAGACCTGCTTGGAACAGCAAACTCCAGTATATTCTGGCACAAGTTGGATTTTCTGTGGGATTGGGGAATGTGTGGCGATTCCCATATCTGTGTCAGAAAAATGGTGGAGGTAAGTCTTGTGATAGCTAGTCGTAGCTAAATGATGAAGCTAACCTTTCAGGTTTCAAGGTTGGCAGAGATATCCACAGTAAAATCTGCTCCAGCATGTCAGGTTTTTCTTTTAATTTCTGCCAGAGCCTATGAGGAAAAAAACATATTCTCTTTATTCAGAAAGACACATCTGTTAAAGTAAGTAGCAGATTCTTCTAAGATTCTGTTTCTTCATTTTAGAGGAGAAGGTTCTTGATAAGAATTTAACTAGTGGTCAAACTAGTGGCTAAGCAAAACACGTATTTATGGAGGCGTTGCATTATTTAGGACCTGGCTATTGTTGTGCTAAAGTGTTCTTTATAGTACTTGGACAATAAATCAAGGCATTAGATCTGTATCCACTTTAAAGACCGAAGCCATGTTTGGTCTTTGGTATTTACTGGTACTAAGCTTCACATCTTTACTTTTTAATTGCTTTTAGCTCCTAGGCCATTTGATCACGATTTACTTTCTGCAAGAACAACAAAATACTGTAGGAGTGAAAAGGATTTTTTTACTGATAATAAATAATTTAAATCATTACATTAAGGGAAAGCATCTGTTTTGTGCTGTTATATAATTAACTATTTTCCTAAATAACAAGTTACCTTTCACTTAGAATAATAACATTAAGCTGTTTATTTGTTAGCTGTCCATCTGTGGTTTTGAATGTAGTATGAAGTATGAGGCTGGAGACCTTCCTTCCTCTGCGAATGCAGGATTAGTGGTTTATCCTATGCTACTGTATCCTACTATACTACATTAATGCACATCCTATTGTAGCTAATTACTTAGCTGAATTCAAAACAAACCTGTCACTTTCTATGATTCAAAAAGTGAATCTGTGCTAGAGAATAAAGTACATCATTTTATTCATGCTGGATCTTAAAAGTTGAATGACAAAACTGATGTAATTGAGGAGTATAGAAATGAGCCTAGAATATAATCAGAGTGAAATTTTGTAATTTATTTGTTTTCTCTGTCAGTTCAAGCAGTAAAAATGGAGTTTATACTTTCAAATATTCCATCTCCAGTCTAAATTATTAAAGTCTAAATTATTTTATATCTAGTTACTGTAAGATTTTTTTTTCACTCTCATTTAACTTCCTTTTTTTCTCCTTTATTCTGGAGAGAAAGTCATTAAATGGTTGATTTAATGGATTGGAATCTAAAATTTTCTTCGTCTGTAATTGTAATATTAACTGAGAAAGCATGTTGAATGCAGTTTCTCAAAAACCATAGCTTTTCAGTGGATCGCAATCTCATCTAGTCTACTAGACACAGTATAGAAGCGATGATGTATCACTACTAGTTGAAAAAATAATACATTTGTTAATTAACAACTTCTAAAACGAAGTGATTCATAGTTAAAGGTGTAGCTATTAAAATGTTTGTATCATTCCATCCTAAATATGGCATCAAGATGTAGTCTCAAGGGTAATGCATTACAGGAGGTTGTTATGTGTAGTTGTGTTCCTTTTGAAAGTCTGTGTTTAATGTAGTTAGTAACTAATTTTGCAAGCCCATTGGACTCTCCTTCTAACCAACAGAAGATATCTGTTGGTATGTTCCTTAGGCGCTTGTAAAGTTACTCTTACTGAGTATAAATTTAATTCAGATCAAATAGAAATGTATTAAATTAATTAATAATTTCACATTTTAGAAAAAAACCCCACACTCCACTGTCAGGGATTATGGCACTTCACTGATCAAACTTGAAAAAGTAAATATGGAGTCATTTCAGGTTGAAATTAAATGTTTTCCACTGTGCTGTGATTGCAGGAACGTGGACGTATAACAGCCTGTGGAGACAATGTTTTCTGCACATGGCTGAGACAAGGATGCATTTCACTTTTAAAAATATTTTTGCACCGTTTTAGTGAATTGCAACCTTCAGAACAACAGAGAAAAAGCAAGTGATCATTAGAGCTAAAGCTTTCTTGGTTTTCAGGTTCACTGTAACGCAAGCTGGAGAAGGTGACGCAAAACACTGAAATGTGTAAAGTACATTGGTGCCTGTATATGTGTGTGCAGATCAACAGATAACTCTCAAAAGTGCTTAAAAGAATCGGAGGAGGGAGGGAAAAGTTCAAATACGTGGTAAAAAAACCCTACACACATTTTATATGAGGTTCCAGGTTTCTGCTGCACATATTATTTCATGTATGTTTCATTCTAGGTAAGATTGTAGGGGTTTTTTGCAACCCATTCTAAATAGCAGTGTCAGAACTGTTCTGTAGTCTTTTGCTGAGAAAACTTTACTTGTCTCTGAGTACAAGGTAAACAGCCTTTCTGTGGATTTTCATTGGAACTGTTTCAGTGAAGCATATGGCTAGGTCTCCACCTTCAGTTTTGTCTGAACATTTTTCATTTTCTTCCCTATGTTTAAGAATCTTAGATCTGGCAAATACCATCAGATGAGGGAAGTGTATTGAAAAGTGGTAAACCAATAAATATACTTAAAATTTAAACAAAAAAATAAGTGAAAAACACAGTTACTCATTAGTTTCCTTCACAGGTTTCTTCCAACATTAAGTGTTCCAAAGCCACCAGTAAAAGAGAAAGCAAATTCTAACCATATAGTAATCTTCAGTTTTGTCTTTTTTTTTTTATATATATTTCTGTGACAACAACAACAAAACGAACAAAATAAACATAGAAAAGACAGAGACAAGTTAGCCCAAATAGATGTATATTATTAGAGGAAGTTGTGGAGAAAAAATTTGGTGTTTACCACCCTGTTTTCTGGAGAGATTGCATTGTTTATGGCTGTGGCCTGTGGTACGCCAACACTGCTGACTTCAGAGCTCTGTACTGCTTCAGTGAGGGATCTGTGATACCATCTTTAAAGGTAACTTGTGTATAGCCACACAGCACTGATACTTGGATGTCCATAGGTACCTTTCCAATAGCCGTTTCTGGGCCTGGCCTACACCACCAAACAACTTCCTTCACCTTTGTTTCTTGTGATCCTTTAAGAGGTTTTTTTCTGTTGCTTTAATTCATATAAACTCATAAATATTTAGAGAAATATCTGGTATTTTTTTATGCTTGAGTAAGTTGCAGCTAGACTGGGTAGCTCTTTGCTGGCTTTCATACTTGGTTCGTGAGAGGTGAGAGAAGAGGCTAGTATGCAGCTGGGACAAACTTCCATCCACGTTGGGGATGTAGCTGTAATGCAGGAAGCATCACGAGATAAAAAGAGGCTGGGAGAAAATGGAGAGCACCCCAGGGTGCTCTTTTTCTTGACTTGGGATGAGAGGGAGGGCCCAAAGGAGTCTTAGGCTCTGCAGATGAGGGGCTGAAGGTGTTCAGTAAAGTTTTGAGGAACTAGCTGTAGATCTCTGTGCCTCCTTCACCTCTGTCCTCACCACTGGTGGTCCTTACCCTGGTAGGCAATGCCCGGTCCCCATCTGTCACTTAAGGCACCCCTTCCACTCTTTGCAGCCTAACTTGATGACATGGTTTAGCCCCAGCCGGTAGCTAAGTGCCACGCGCCGCTCGCTCACCCCTCCCCCGGCAGGATGGGGAGGAGAACGGAAAAACAACGGCAAAGCCTCGAGGGTTGGGATAAGGGCAGTTTACTGGGACAGCAAGGGAGAGGGAAACAATCAACAACAGTGCTGATAACAGATAGTAACAATGGGTGATAACAGAGAACGATTTTACCGATCCGAGGACCGACCGACCGACCGACCGACCGGACACTCGACCCGTCCCGGAGCCACGCCGACACGCCCAACCCCCCCTCCCCGACTAGCCCCCTTTTATGGTGAGCATGACGTCACATGGTATGGAATAGCCCCTGGCCAGCTTGGCTCACCTGTCCTGGCTCCTTGGGAAATTAACTCTATCCTTGCCAGAACCAGGACACTTGATACAAAAGCTGTTCCTTCCTTGATGCCTAACAAAGGTGATTTGCACTGGAGCTGGGTATGCTCTAACTTAGCTTTAGAGGTTTTTTATATTTATAATTTTTACACTGCACAGTTTATTTATTACTCCTTTACTATTTGAAGACAAATATGCGTGTTTGTTCAGACAGGCACAGTTGCTATATAACAATTTCATAACCTATGTTAGCGTGCGGTAGGTTCAGAGTATCCTCAGCTTCCCGTGATTGATAGCGAGCCTTAGAAATAAACCGCTCGGGTCTACCCAGTCTTGATGTGAGGCTAATAAATAGTGACAAACTAGGCCTGTATTTTCCTGCTGCTCATTGCTATCATGTGTTGAATAGCTTGCACAGCTTTCACTTTTTTCAGACAAAGGAAATATTTGAAGTTTATTCTGTTTGGTTGGTTTTTTTCCTTTAGGATTAGCAGAAGTAAAATCGTACGTTCACGTATTAGAAGTAACAAAAGCAAACTAAATTAGCTGTTCTGCTAGAATTAGTGGTAAGTGAGGAAGTGTTATTATGAAGACAAGTGATCATAGTTATTTAAGAGGTGCTTCTAGTGTTGCAGGTGTTACTGGGGGTCTACAAAGTACTGCACACTCAAATGATTTTTGTGTTACATTTTCATGAGCATTATCTTAATTTTACTGTTTTTTTTTTTTTAAGGTCAGTCTTTTTAATATCTCTGTGATGTAAAAAGTCAAAAGAACTAGTAAACAATGATAAACAGATAAAAGCTGTGAGCAGCATAGGGAAATCTGTAGCAGATGATCTTGCCATTATGTTTTGAAAAGATTGACATGGGTAGAGTCACATCGTGAGTTTTTACAGTTAAATGGTCCGGATTTTATACTGAAATACCAGCAGATTGAACAGTTAAGTACTGTGGTCTTATAAAAAGCACAGCAGCTATTGCTGAGAACTGCTGAAGAAATAATATGTAAACTGTTAAAGACTGAATAGTCATTAGAAGCTACAAGCTGATTGTCTAATACAAGCAGAATGGGAGCAAAGTAAGTATCCCCTCGTATTCCAACACGGAATATGGATTCAGTGGCTTCATTGTTTAGGTTTTCATCAATGATTTATAATCAGTGCCTTGAATTCACTGATGACTTCAATATTATTTTATGAGTTCTGATTTAAATTGTATGATCAGACTAAAAATTTAATTGTAGTTCAGTGTGCTGAAAATGTTTTTATTTTAGAAGTGTAATTATTCATTAAAGCTTATTGGCTAAGGGAATTTTCATCCTTTAAGCACAGTTTTGTAAATAAGCACACCTGAACATATTTGAACTGTGAAAGAGTAGTGACAGGAGGACTATCAGTGGGATAGACTACAAACCTAGAGGTAAAACATAAAACCTGTTATCAGAGTTTTACTGATAAAAGCAGTTTGTATTTTGTAATGGTAAATAATTTCACTTATAGGAGTTTAGTAGATGCTTAGAGGAGCTTAGTAGACTGTAAACCTGTAGTGTTTTGTTGCCCACTTGTCATAACTTTGAAAATTTTAACATTTGACATTGAAAATAAGTTGATCTTCATCTGAATATCAGGTTCTCACTAGCTTTCTATTAGTAAGTGTCCAGTAAGCTGTAAGAGCTGGGATGTCTCCTCAAGGCAGTGGTAAAGCTCACCTTCATTGAATAAGAATTAAATCAGACTTAATTAAAAACTAGCACAGCAGCAGTTGAAACAAATCTGGAAAATTAATAGATTTTTCAGGTTACATCAAAAATGGCTAGGAGAAGAAAAGTTCTTCTGCAGTATCAAGATGGTAATAGTTATGTCGTCTTGCATTATTGCTTCTGAAATTATTTTCCAACTCTTTAATCACTATGAATCATGTAATTTTATGTTATTTTTCCCCCCTGAGCATTTATAAGAACTTAAATCAAAATGAATGTTAATATTCCATTTCTGTTAGTACATATTGTAATATCAAGAGAGACAATTTACCAGTTATCCCATTATGATGCTTGGTTAAATAAAAAAATTAAGAAATCAAAGCAGTGCTGTGCAGGGTATTAATATTCACCAGTTCCTGAAATCTTTTGTATCTTTGTCATTCATTCTAGTGAAGAAGGATGAGGTGTATTTTTTTATATTTTTTTTTTTTCCCTCATGAAGTTAAGATGAGTTTTTTAAAAAGGAAGCCAGTGTTTTAAGGCCAAAATATGCATAAAAGTGACTTTACAGTAGAATAATTTTGAAAATGTGGAAAGGAGACCTGGGCATCCTGAACCACACAGAATTGTAATATTCAGAAGGCTGCTTAGCTGGCAGATCTAGCAGACAAAATATAACTAATTGTAGGATGCTGTTCAAGGCCAGCATGTGTAGTTTATTGTTCTAATTAAAATAAAAATTATCCTTATTCAATATTGTAACAAGGAGCCATGTTTTCATGCACTGGCAAATAAGAGACATGCTGAGCTGTTTCCATAGTGATTCCATTTTATGATGAAGTGAAGATGACTTACAGTTCTTTAAAGTATGTCTAGCTTCAAGGGAAGGCTGAAACAAAATAGTTCGCCAGAGATGCTGTGGTTTGGTGTTGACTGTAGGGCACAGAAGCCCTTTGCAAGTGTGATCCACAGTTGTATAATCCAGTTCTGTCCAAACTATATTGCACTGAAACTCATATGTGCACTTTTTGCCATTATGTCCTTCTTTTGGGGAGGGGCACAAGATGAGGAGGTTGCTCAGCAGGTTTGAATGATCGGCAAGACCAGTGCTTCAGGTGCTCTGCACAAGCCCTGCAGTATAGGGGTGAACTCTGCTGGCTACCCACACCGAATTACAGGGTTGTGTCATGTGTAATGCAATGTGGATTTAACACCACATTTATTATTTAACTCATTTAGTTGAATCTAACTGATAAATCTTGCAACTTACATTGATACTGCACCATAAACCACCCACGTCAGCCCAGTCTTTAAACATGTGCTTAACTTTGCAGCCTTGTGATTAAGGTTGTGGACTGGGACACTGAAGAGCTGGGTTCAGTTCCTGCTCTAGTACAGTCATCCAGTGGGATACAGGGTAAGTCACTTAGGCCCCAATGTTTTTGAGCTGTTTCGGCTTGTCTCAGCTATGCAACACCTGTCTAATTAAGACCTCAGGTATCATTTAAAGTAGTGTTATACTATCTTAAAAAGTATGTACTGTTGGCTTTCAATTAATTGTGTGGCCAGATTTTTAAAGATAGTGATGCCGAAGCTTCTCATTTGCAATGTGAATTTACAGTATGCTTCTGTCTCACAGAATTTTGGAGAGAATGCTGATGGTAAATCAAGGGTATTTAATGGTATTATTTGTCTTAAATATTTTGAAGACAGATAGTTCCCCTCATTTTGGAATGTGTTTGTTACTGTATTCCTCAGTTTTCCTCACGTTTATTTCCTTCTGTTTCTGTTGTCTCTCTTTTCATAGTACAAAGTAAGTCCTTTGCATTCTTCATTGAATGGGAATGTAGCTGCTACCTCAGTAGAAATAATATTTAAGTAGACTGTCTATACTGTGCTGAAATGGGTAGGTAGACCATGAGGGATTATTGTAACCTCAAAACCAGTACCTTGTTCAGAGCCTGGCATAGGTTTTGACCAAATGCTGCTCAAGCGATGACATTGCATATCATATTATCATGTCATGAAAATAAAATACAAGAAGCTATTTCATTGCTAACAACAGCCAGTAGTTTTTCTCAGATTTACTTTCCTCTGTCTTTTTTTCCTACTTATCTTAGACTCAAGACTGTAATTACTTCATGCTTAGGATCTTTTTAAGGTCTTTATAGTGGAAAGTGATGTCCAATTTATGTGTATTTCATGAGGAGCAAAATAGCAAGTGGACCTAAATAGAGTGGATGTACCAGAAAATATGAGACCACCTGCAGTTTAGCAAAGTTTAACTTTTCTAAAATAAAATGTATTCCATGAGATAAGCTATCTACTAAGGATATGCAAATGACAGTGTGTTGTGATAGACTCCTAAAAAAGCCCTAGAAAGTTGACGCTGGAGGAAGAAAGTTAAAGGAGGACTTAGCTGCAGTTGAGGATAAATCCCAAATTGGTTTCTGAACTTTGCTCAGCTTCTCTCTCATCACAGAGATGAATAGACTGATTATACAACTTAATAGCTCCGAGTCTAAGCTTCTGAAGTCTTTAGATCTTTGCTTTGTAGCTTGCTCTGACATGCCGCAGTCTGCATCCCTCAAGTGCTTTTCTTTAGCCTTACAGCGGTTGCAATCAAAAATCCTAAGCTGTTTGAATTAGGTGGCCAGCACAGTACTCTGTATTGCAGCATAAGAGCTATGCGTTTGAAAATCAGGTGCCACACTGCTAATTGTTTTGTTAGCTCTATTCCTAAATACTCTGCAAGAGCAAGGAGGAAGTTGGGCTCTGAACTTGTCAGTGCAGTTAGTGCGTGGCTATATTTGCTTGCAGTTAGTTTTGCAGAAGTAAATGGAGATACATCCTGAAGTTAGAATTCTATGTGACCACTTCCTGGGAATAAGACCTTGAAAAAAGTAATTGTTTTACATATACATGTCAAACAGTGAAGTAACAGTTACATTTTCAAATGTCTTTAAGGAGAATTTGTGAGTACTGCAAGATCTGGATCTACAATACTCCCATTTCATTTCCACCTCATGTCTCTAGTCTCTGTCTGGAGCCTGGTAGAAATGGACTGATAAAGTTGTCTTGCTTAGCTGGATAGGATCATTATTCTGCACATTGAGAAATCCCTTTCTGAGCATCTGAGGTGCACATGGAGAAATCAACAGGATGGTCTTCTGAAACTGCTTAAGATCAGATGAAATTCAGAATGTATGCACAGTATGTTCTGCATTTCCTTTATAAATTCAGTCTTGCTGCTCTGTTACAAGTTGAGGTGTAGAGATTTTTAAAAAATGTTGATTCAGCGCCTGATTGCATCAGTATATCTCAAAAAAGTTTGATCAAATACCCAAAACTTCGCAAAAGCAGACAACTAGATTAGATAATAACTCACTTTCAGTAAGATTTGCCTCAAAATGTTATAGTGCTTTAGAAATTCAATGTCTCTGGGCTTTTCTTACAAGAGTATGGGCCAGGTTCAGGTAAAATTAGTCTTTGCATGTGATAAAAAAAGCATTGCACTGAATGACACTAATTCAAACTTGAAGCTATTAGAAGGTTTCACATCTGTTGTGTCAAGTTCTGACTCTCCTTCCTCTCACTCTGATTTATACTTTGTTCCTTTCACAGGTGCCTATCTTGTGCCATACTTAATCTTGCTACTGATAATAGGGATTCCACTCTTTTTCTTGGAGCTTGCTGTGGGGCAGAGGATCCGCCGAGGGAGTATTGGTGTGTGGAATTATATCAGCCCCAAACTTGGAGGAATTGGATTTGCGAGCTGCGTGGTAAGTTGTTAACATTAATTACGTAGTTTACTTTCAGTCTGTATGATTTAGACGTAGTGTTTTGCTGCAGGAAAAGGCCAATGATTTGTAGCTGGGCTTCAAGGTCAGGTGACAATGTTTTGGAAGATCTTTAAAACTAAAATTAGTACATTAAAAATATTAATACAGATATGTCTGTAAAACCAGTCAACTTGTATTTTGTGATTCTTTTGAAATTAGGAACTAGGCAACAGAGTAGTCTTCTGGAGAAAAAAAGCATGTGAAAATACAGGTGTTAGACGATAAATACACAGAAAAGTGAAAATTTAGAAAATGTTAGGTACTTTAATGGGCCAAGCCATTCAGTTCTTATTCTGACTTAGTTAAAATTAGGTTCAGTGGCTGATGTGCAGAAATATACAGTAGGGATTTTTCTTCTATGTAGTTAACAAATGTAACTTTTGGTATGTCTCTTTTTTTATAGGTATGTTTCTTTGTGGCCCTGTACTACAATGTTATTATTGGATGGAGTCTGTTTTACTTTTCCCAGTCTTTTCAGCATCCATTACCATGGGACCAGTGTCCTTTAGTTAAAAATACATCTCATACCTGTAAGTCTATGTTAATGTTATTAAAAATCATATAAAATTATGAATTTTGAGATTTTCAAACAAAAAGGAGAAAAAATACAATTCGAAGAGGTATTTGTGGGAAAAAGCGTTGTATGCAAGGCTGGTTTTGCATCTTGATGTCACATTATAATACTTGGAAAAAATACAACAAAGAAACCTAAGATAAATATACTATATTTGGAAAGCAACATCACTGTCAACAGTATTTTAAAGAGCAATTAAATGAGGAGAGTACTACTTAGTGTGTTCCAGAAACAAAAAAAAAAATTCTGATTACTTTTTTTCTGATTTTGATAATGCTTTTTATGTTTTCTTGGTGACAAACAAAGGTGGAAGAAGGATATTTCTACATTTCAATTAGTAGGATACTTCCTGACAACAAAGCAAGAAGTGTTACATTACTAACAAAGCAGAAAATGGAAAATTGTAAACATCAATGAAGTGCATGTGATAAAAGCATTGTTTGCTTTGTAACCAATAGAAAGTAGATAATTGGTTATTGGTTTGTTGCTATAATGAAGTGGTCTCAAATGGACATTATACAACAGCATTAAAAGTTCCTTATCCCTTGGTTTTGGCTATCTCGTAGTAGTTAGATACTTTGCATTATTCTTGCTCTTGAAATGTGAAATCTTTTTTTTTTCTTTTTATTTCAGATCTTAAATTTTCTTTAATTACCTTTTGTGGCTTTTTTTACCCCTTAATAAAGAAAATAACCAGAGACATTTGAAAAGTTGTACATTTTTACAGTGTCTTTGCCAGAGTTGCTTGCTTTAGTTGTTTGAAATAATCAGTATATGTGAATGTTGGCATACAGTCAAATTGACTGCATTTCACAAGCTGTTGTCCATTAATCGAGCCACAGTGTTTGTCTGTTTACGTACTTTTATCCTGCCTAACTTAAGCAGAGGTCATCTGAACTAAGCTTAAACACAGAAAAGTATTATATTTGGTAACATCCTATCATTTTTAGAAGTTTATTTCAGTGAAGGTCTGACGCCCACGTTAGGATTCTTAGAATTAGTATATTTTTTCCTTTTCATTAATTAGCCTTGACTCGGGACCTAGCTTAGAGATATGGTTGATTGTCAGATACAAATAATGTATAAAAAAGGTAAGTAAGTATTTTCCTTGAAGAATTAATTTATTTATATGTGTTATATTTCTAGATAGGCACAGTTTCTTAAACTGTTCAGTAACATGAGTAAAGCAGAACTACGCTATAATAAAAAAATCACTTCTGGAATACACATAGCAACTTTCATTTAACATAGCTGTTTAGGAGCATTTTTTTCCTTTTCTCATCACTTTAGTATCATTATGTTATCTTATCAGTTATAATAGTAATTAGGTGCCTGTTGATTTGAGTGTCATATCAAAGCAGACACAATTGAGAACTTGTTTGCTATATATTTTCAAAATTCATATATTTCAGTGTTCAATTTCAGAGAGATATTTTTTGTGGTATATAAGTCACAGTGTCATATGTAGATAATCTAATCATAGAATGATAGAATGGTTTGGGTTGGAAGGGACCTTAAAGATCACCTAGTTCCAACCCCCCTGCTGCGGGCAGGGACACCCTCCACTAGACCACGTTGCCCAAAGCCCCATCCAACCTGGCCTTGAACACTTCCAGGGAGGGGGCATCCACAGCTTCTCTGGACAACCTGTTCCAGTGCCTCACCACCCTCATCATAAAGAATTTCTGCCTAATATCTAGTCTAAACCTGCCCTCTTCCAGTTTAAAGCCATTACCCTTTGTCCTGTCAGTACATGCCCTTGTAAACAGTCCCTCTCCAGCTTTCTTGTAGGCCCCCTTCAGGGGGGGAAGGCTGGAAGGCTGCTCTAAGGTCTCCCCAGAGCCTTCTCTTCTCCAGGCTGAACAATCCCAACTCTCCCAGCAGAGAGAGAGGTGGGGTGCGCCACCTTCATAGCAGAGGTGCGCCAGCCCTCTGACCATCTGCATGGCCCTCCTCTGGACTCGCTCCAACAGCTCCATGTCTTTCTTGTACTGGGGCGCCCAGACCTGGACGCAGTACTCCAGGTGGGGTCTCACGAGAGCGGAGTAAAGGGGCAGGATCCCCTCCCTCGACCTGCTGGTCACACCTCTTTTGATGCAGCCCAGGACATGCTTGGCTTTCAGGGCTGCAAGTGCACACTGCTGGCTCTTGTTGAGCTTCTCATCGATCAACACCCCCAAGTCCTTCTCGGGGCTGCTTTTGATCCATTCTCTGCCCAGCCTGTAGTTGTGCTTGGGATTGCCCTGACTCATGTGCAGGACCTTGCACTTGGCCTTGTGGAACTGATCTTACATGTGATGAATGTGTGATAAATGGAATGTGTGTCTTCATCTAGGCCTGCCTACTATTTAGTGCTTAAATGAAGACTGAGGTCTGCTTAGGACTTGGATTGACCATATGCAGAGGAATACGTTATCCCAAAAGTGTGTTATAAAAAGATATGCCTAGAACCTTTGACTGATAGCAGTCACTTTTTCTTTTAGAGAATGACTTAAGACTCTTTGTGAGTTTAGTTTCTCAGTAAGTGGTGATGGCACAATTGCAGGTTTTGAGAATTGATAGAATGTTGCTATAAAATGTTGGGAAAATACTTCTGTCCTGAACCCATTGTTTATTTGCTAACATCTCTTGACAGTTGTGGAGCCAGAGTGTGAAAAAAGTTCTGCAACCACTTATTACTGGTACAGAGAAGCACTGAATATTTCCAGCTCTCTGTCAGAGAGTGGGGGTTTAAATTGGAAGATGACTATCTGCTTGCTGGCTGCCTGGGTCATGGTATGCCTAGCCATGATCAAAGGCATTCAGTCTTCAGGCAAAGTGAGTATACTGTTTACCTAAATGACAGTGTTTTACTTTGAAACTTTTCATGACATTTTTGTTCACCACACCCTCTGTTTACTGTCTCATGAAATCTGTAGGAGCAGGTTAGAAGCTGTGACTCACCCTAGTATTTGTATAATCTCAAGTAGAGGAATGTTAGTAGTTAAGCATTAAAATTGTTGTAATTTAAGTGGGAATTGTAGTAATGTAGTGGGAATTGAGATCTGAAGAAGCAACATTTCTGTCTTCATCAACATAACTGTTGGAAGTAACTGTATCTCAGCTTTATTGAATTGTTAATGTGGCATAAGTCTGTGGTTTTAACGTCTAAAGGATTAAGTTTCCGTGCATACTCACAGTATGATTGCAATGCACCGAGGTCCTTGGCATTTTGTGTTTTGTTGTTACTGTCATTGGTATCCATGCTTCTGTCATTAACACAGCTACTTTTCAGGATTCTGGATTGTTTCTTGTGACCTGTGACTAATCATCCCTTTGCATCTGAGTACGTCACCTTGTCTTCTTTCCTTTCCACTCAGCCAGCCAGATTGGCTACTGAACGATTTGCTAGCTCTGTTGATCTCAATGGGACTTTCAGATGAAAAATAATCTGTTCTAACAGCAAAATTCTTTGCTATTAGAAAGTTTGGCACTGAGGTGGAAATTCCTGTGACCTCCTTAGTGTATTTTAGTTAAAGAAACAACTAGCAAGTTTAGCAAGAGAATAATTTTACTAAAAGCACAGAATGGATTTGTTTTCATTCAGGATGGAGAATGAAAGACTCTACTATTTTTTTGTTTACTCTTTGTATTAGATAAATAAGTCAATCAATGTGTCTGAAAGGTATTCTGTTATACAGTTGTTTAAGTGGTACAGAAGTGTTGGGCTTCACAAATGCAGTAGCAAAAGCGTGCTGCTTCAGCGTGGAAAGCTGTACAGCGTTGCGCTTCAGGATTCAGCCGACTCTTTGCCGTTTTGTTTGTCCAGTAGTCAGTCCAGTATTGCTTTCTAGTTTTTATGACTCAAAGCTACTAGATCTTAAGTAATTTCTGTAGATCAGAGAATATCCCCAGCTTTTCTTCTGTTTTGTCAGTAAGAATTACTTAGTGGTTTGAATCCATTGGATATGTGCTTTCCACTGACTTACTTTCTTTCCTTCTGAAGACAGAATGATTTTCTGGTCATGCTGAATGTCTTTACTATACTGTGTACTTGAATCAACGTCCGTTTGTAAAGTGAAGCATTTCTAAAACAGGCTACTTCTGTCCTTCTTATCATCGTCTCATTGATTTCATACTGAATTTCCGTGGAAGCTCAGCAGTTTGTTATCGTTAGTCAACACAATGGCAACCATATTGTTTTAATACAGTACAGAATTTATTTTACAGTCATGTGATTTTGCTTTCTTCTGCAGAGACAAGGGGAATGGGAAGTATTCTGCATATTTCTTAGAGTGTATGATTATCAATTCAGGTATATACCGAGTAACAAATGAAGCTATTGAAAATAAAGTCCATGGATGTCATGATAAATTTCTTTTCAATGTTTTTCAGATCATGTATTTTAGTTCCCTTTTTCCTTATGTGGTACTTTTATGCTTTCTGATCAGAGGACTGCTCCTTAATGGGTCAGTGGATGGAATTCGTCACATGTTCACACCTAAGGTATGTGCTTAATTTCTGTTCACAGTGTATTAAAGTTTCAGTGGCAATTTGACCATTTATGAATGCTCTCATTTAAGCTTATTGTCTTCATAGAACATTTGACCATTTTTCTGTTCGGTTAAATTGCAAAATTGTTGTTGACCTCAGTGGCAAGAATATCAAGCCCTAAGGTCTAAAAGGCTGCAAGTGCTCCAAGGGTCTGTGTAGCATTACCTCCCTTAGGTGACAAGTTCAGAGTTAGATGCCTTTACAAAGCTAAGCAACTGGAAGTGCCATTTCCAGGATTTAGGATGTTTAGAAAGCTCCAAATACTGAAAAGAGAAGTGAATCTTAAATCTTGCCAATCTCTAGGGTTGAAATGCCTAATTCTGGGATGTCACAGTGAAATACCTTACCTTGAATGATGTCATGGATTTACATAATTAATTTGTCCATTGTTAGAAAAAAATCAGTGCTGTTTGCATAATACCCCAATAGTACAGGAGACCTGTCTTTAATGCTCTGCTCATCTTGTAAAAATAGTGTAAGTACTCACCACTTGCCTTTCCTTACCGTGTTCTGTATGGTTGTAATGCCAGAATAGCAGCAGATCTAAGCATACGTTTTTTACTGTCAGCATTTTTTCTGGGAATGTGTATTACAGAACCTCAGATTTTATAACTATGGAGGTGAGAAGGGATGTTATGAATCATTGTTTAGCCTGAAGATCTAAATTCTACTCACACCCATCTCAAATGCTTTTATGTATCTATACTACAGGAACAGCATGTTTGAGTAGTCAGAGCCATACTTGCTCAGGAATGCATAATGTTGGGATTCATGTGTATTACTCTCTATTATGAAATGGACTTTCCAACAAGTGCATTTCATAATACAGTTCAACAGAACAGGACTGATGTTTCAAAAATGAAAACTAAACAATGGGATCGTTAAAATCAATGCACATAGTGGCTAATGCCAGATGACAGAGGTGGTGTCAGTTGTTTTGATTCCAGGTGTTTTGAGTCTGCGGAGAACTGTCATCCTATAAAAATGACCTTTGTTAGCTATCACATTGTTATTTTTTCCATTGTGATACGCAGTCGTGCTCCGCTTCGCTCGCTGCCACCGCTTGAGTCGTGGTTCTGCAGGAACTTGCAGGTCTCTCAGGCAAATTTGGGGAATCTGAGGAACAGAGAAATGCAGTGCTTATTGATGAAGAGGAAGTCTATAGCAGATACGGAATACAGACCTGTTGAAGTTACAATTTGGTTTCTCAGCCACAGTATGAATCCTTTCTTTAACTAGAGAAGTACCACTAGGTACTGAGGGAAGGTGAATGCCAAAATTCCCCTTGAATACCAACACCTCTTAGCTCTTCACTATTTCATCTTTCATGAGTTAGACCTAAAATAAGTTGCAGCTGATGCTTACCTTATAGTTACATTATAATTTAATCATACAGGTGTTTCAGGTATTCAGATGAACAATCTTAATAGAAAAATGGTTTTTAATTTCTTCTGCTGGTTTCCAGTTCTGTATCTCGAAACTTAAGTTGTGGCTTAAATTTGAGGTTAGGAGGCCTATGTGTCATGTACAGTATATGTGAATATAAACCTTCAAAGGTATTTTTATTATAATCTCTGATTGTTTCTGTACTTCAGCACTAATGTGGACTGTAGGTTTGCACGAAACTACCTGAAGGAACTCAGACCTGCCCACCTGTTGTTTCCATTCACTCCACTGTGCTAACAGTTTATGTGGGCAGGCAGACTGTAAAAAGAATTGCTAAACTGATCTCGTTCGAAAATAATCCAGGTAGACAGACAGGAGAGGGGAGGGAGAAACATCTTTTCAATTAGTTCAGCAAATGACCACGTTTTGGCCACCACTGATCACAACACAGAAGAGTTGTGTCAGCACAGCAGAGGACTGGCACACATTGGTGCAGGTGTGAGAGCACAGGACTGATGAAGAAGGGGGGAATTTCTTTCTTTGGCTTTGTTGATGAACAAAGCAGAAATTCTAAATAATCTTAATGAAAAACCTAAGGAAAGGTATATGAAAAGCCCACTGAAGTCAACTTCAGTAGTGAAACAGTACAGTGAAACTGTAGGACTGTATGAAGCTTAAATTCAGAGCCCCCAAAGCTTCACAGAAAATACCTTACAGCCCTGTACTAGCTACTAGGAAGAAAATTAACCCTATCCCAGCCCAAACCAGCTGAAACAGCAAATTAATTGCAAGTTTATTTTTAAATGCTAGGCAATGTGTATCTGAGAACGTACTACCTTTGATGATAGCATATGATATATTGCAGGAAGCGAGAAGTGTTTTGGTGCTTAAACCATTTACAGATTTGGGAAAATTAAGCCTATTCCTGAGCTCCCTCTAGTGGAAAAGCTCTAGCATGACTGTGTGATACAGGCAGATTGACCTACGTGCAATAGCTACTTGTGCATTGTAATTTTAAACAAAAATTATAAGTTAGGAACAAGTTTATTTTCATCAGCACCTTTTTTTCAAATTTGTTGTATTTTAGCGATATGTAAATAAGGTATCTGCTACTTATCTATAATAAATATTATACCTTTATGGGAAACTGGAAAATTTTTGAAAATGTTATCATAACAGTAGAAGACTTTTTTTTTTTTTTCCCCCTCTTAGTAAGACAGTCAGTCTTCTAATTGTGGCATCATTCTGATGCTTTTTAGTTTTACTGTTTTCGATAAGCCTAGGATTTAAAAAAAAACAAACAGCAAAAAACCCCAGCACATTCACAGAAGTAAGGTCTTTCACTGTAAAATGAATGGAGGCCCTCAATCAACTTGAGAAAATCTAGTGTTTAAATTTATGATTCAGTATCTAGAAGGATCTGAGATAGATGATAACTTTAACAAAGATATTTCTTGAGGTGTGGTCATCTGAACGATTAATATAGTTCACTTTTTTGATAAAAGGCTTAGTCGTGCATCGAATACATGACCCATTTAAATTAGGGTAAGTTTGAGGCGTCTAGCTTAAGGGAGATTTGACTTGTGGACTGTACAGGTTGTGGTGGCTGGCATTTATTTCATATGTTGCATTTTGCTGTATGTATTTGCATGTAATAGAATTCCATATAAGCATGTGTATTTCATAGTCACTTTTTTTTTGAAAGTAACAACAAAACAACTTTCAACATACTTAATGCATTTATAAGAGGCTTGATCATCCCAAAATAAATCTTAAATCTGACAACTGATAATACATGTACAGTAAAAAAAGACAGTAAAGAACTGTAGAAAAAAAACCTCAACAGATATTCTCTCTTATTTCACAGTTTAACTAGCTGTTAGTTTAATAATCATATAGCTCCAGTAGTGTCTCATTGTTTAGAACGTACTCTATTTCTCTTTAAGGATTATATTGTATAAAATCAATATAAATTCTGGCTGATAAGTTCTCTCAACTTTAGCTGTCGTATTCAGCTTTCATTGTATCATAATGAAAATGCAGTTGTAGTGGAGTATTAGCATTTTGTGATGTAGGTTGTCTTCCTGTTTTTTTTCTGTTGTCTTTTCATATAATAGAAATGCATTTTATAGCTGACATATATTATATCTAATTTCAAACAGCTTGAAATAATGCTGGAGCCCAAGGTCTGGAGAGAAGCTGCTACTCAGGTGTTCTTTGCCTTAGGGCTTGGATTTGGTGGAGTCATTGCCTTTTCAAGCTACAACAAGAGAGACAACAACTGCCATTTTGATGCTGTTCTGGTGTCCTTCATCAATTTTTTCACTTCTGTGCTGGCAACTTTGGTGGTGTTTGCAGTTCTGGGCTTCAAAGCCAATATCATAAATGAAAAATGTGTTATCCAGTATGAATATCCATTTATTTTTTTGATTATTTTTATGGTATATTTCATTTATGAATTAACGCAGATCATCAAGTTTGATTTCTCTGTTTTATTGTGTTTTACAGAAATTCAGAGAAGATTTTAAAACTTTTGAAAATAGGCAATCTGAGCCAGGATATGATCCCCCATCATATCAATTTCTCAAGCATTACAGCAGAAGATTACAATTTAGTTTATGACATTATTCAGAAAGTTAAAGAAGAAGAATTTGATTCTCTTGGTCTGAAATCTTGTCAAATTGAAGATGAACTTAACAAGGTGAGAGCAATAAGTAAGTCTTAAATAGATTACGAACGGATGAGTATTTCTTAGCCTGAAATAAACCGTGACATACTTACACAGCGTATCAGTACAGCGTACTTAGGAGCAGTGCACCTGTAGAGATCCATATGAAAACTTGGTTCTGTGCAGGGTTGCGTTCCAGCTCACCTTAGGACTTTTGGGCACAGTGTCTTAATATATTCTGATTTGTAATATATTCTGATCATTATATCACTCTGCTCAGGAGGTTTTAAAGTTCTGGTTTTTAGCAGAGTTGAGTGTGAGGATTTTTCCAAAGACTAAGCAGAAGTGTACCTATTCAACATCTCAAACCGATGTCTTCTAATGTTAAGATACAATTATTAAATACTACTTCACTAGAAAGTAAAAAAGTTATTATATAATTGCTTAATGAATATCATCCTGTTTTGAAATCTTTACAGTAAGCCAGATCTGTAAAAGAGATATTTTTCTAGCTTTTTCAGAGGGACTTCCAGTTTTAAACACTGACCTCTACGTAGTTGCTCCAGTATCTGAAGCTAAAATGTCAAATTGATGACTTCTTAGACATTAAAATTTTCTATACAGTTCCTGCCCTTTAAATTTGAAATAAATAGGCATAGAAATGAAGTCCTTTATGTACTTACTGGAGAGACTAGAGTGTATTTTGTAGCAGTCCTGTATAATAGCTCTCATGCAGAATTATCAATGAAAGAAAGAAGTGTGTTGTTAATATCAATCAACTTACAGATTCTGAGCCAAATCCAATATTTCAGTAAATAATATTAATTAAGTTTACAGGTTTGGAAGAATCGCATATTAGATAGCAGCTTCCTGCTCTAACTTCAAGATTTAATCAATGACGTTGCATGAACTCGGAGTCAGACTGTCACACTAGAAGAAAAATACTGTCCGTGAATATAACGTGGATTTTTTTCTCACTGACAGGCGGTTCAAGGAACTGGTTTAGCTTTTATTGCCTTTACAGAGGCAATGACCCACTTCCCTGCTTCTCCATTCTGGTCAGTCATGTTCTTCCTCATGTTGGTAAATTTGGGACTTGGAAGTATGTTTGGAACCATTGAAGGCATCATCACACCCATTGTTGATACCTTCAAAGTCAGGAAAGAAATTCTTACTGGTGAGTTGCAGAAACTTTCTTTTCTCACTACAGTAGTAAGCTAATAATTTTTTTGAGAGTATGAAGTCCTGTTTTCAGTGCTGACATTTTACAGAGCAGTAAATCACTGTATTCTAGACTGTACTTCCACGCACAGGCACATTAATATCTGCAAGTAAAACCTTCTCCTGAGTGCTGCAAGAGCAGGAACATCTTAGAACTTAAATTTGAATGAAGAATTTCTGTTACAAGTTTCTGTGTGGTCAGTCCTTCTGAGCTCTTCCAGCATACTTTCTATTCCAGCCTATGTCAAAGATCAAGGAAACAAAGGAAAAGGAAAGAATGAAAATGCATTGGAAATTATTATAAATTATTCCTAAGTAGGCCAAATGAAATCTGAATTTATGATAAAATGTATATTAAAAATCAGTACAATTACTTTCTAGAGGAACATATTTTTCCCAGTTGAATGTGGAAAGGGTCTTAAACAAGATGTCTAGCTTTTTGCTTTTTGCTTTTTTTTATTTAAATGACCAAAGTTATTTGAGGTGTAGCCTGTTCATGTAGCTCTGATCTTACAGAATTTCTCCTTTTGAGAGAGAACATCAGCATAAAATGTGAAAGTTAGGTTTCTGAAAATCTTCAGGACAGCTGCAAGGGACTTGATGTGCTATGCACAAATTTGGATTTTGTTTCAATACGTATCACAGGGATAGATAACGTTAAAGCAGTTTATTTTTATTTTCTAACTCTATGAAGGAAATAATAATATATTTTATAAGAGTTAACCCCTGATGCAGCAGAGCACTGCTTTTTCCTGACTGCTCTCCTTACCTTACTTAGGTAATAAGTAATATTTATCAGAAAACTTGTATTTTTTTTGCTTTGCTACATCTAAGAATAAAATTCTTCATAAAGATAAATAAACTGATTTTTCAGAAGTCCTAACATATTAAGCACTTCTTTTTTTTTTTGTTTTATTTTTTTAATGCAGCTCTTAAATTCTGACTGAATAACTGGTGAGACATTTAGATATTAGCTGGTTTTCCTCAGTATATACAGTCATTACTCTGGAGTAATGGAGCATTTTACAGTAATTCCTTGTTATTGTGCTTGACAAAAAACCTATTAAGATAAAGGAATATTCAAGAACTGCTTTTCTCTGGTAATTTTTTGAGTGGTATGCATGCATGATTTTTGCTAAACTCAGTTGTACTCAAAGGATTACAACTTGATGTGGTGTTTTTATAATTACCTTATAAAATTGAAATGCTTGGGTTGTACTTCATGCAGTGTTGGTGGGATTTAACAAGGATCATGCCTGCACTAGAGTTTGTGCTTAAAAACCACAAATCTCTTTTTGCAGAAGTGTGAGCACATTTGCAACTTTTTGCACTATGGTTCCAGTTCAGTCCCTCCTGAGTTCAGGGAAATCAATTCATGTGCTTAAAGTTATTTCGTGTTCAAGTATTTCCAAATCAGATTCTGTGTGTGTATGTGCCAAGTTTTGATGACTGTATCTAGCAGAGCCTTAGTTTACAGCTAAAGATGTGTATTTTTGGGGTGTAATGGTAAGACACAATGGGAGAACATAAGAATAACAAGGATTTCTGAATTCACATACACATGGTTCTGGTGGTCTAATTCTTTTTTTTCAGGGTCAGTAGCAAAACTCAGTGTGAGGAGATTTTATCTGTGTTCTTTTGGTTTGGTTACCTTGTGTTAGGAGTTGACATTGATTTGTAATGATCTCTTTAATTCTAAATTTCTGTTCTCTGAAAGTCATTATAAACATAGTTACAACGAGATTTAAAAAAGTGATCGGCCTTATACCACAGTATTTTAAAAAGTGTCATTGTCTTCCTTTCACTACTTTAATCAATACTATTGATTATCTGTGATTTATGCAATGGGTATATTCTCTAAGGATATTTTATACTTTGGCTTAAATTAATTTCATCTAATTTTAGACTGCTTAGCATATCCTCAGCCTAAGTTCTCAGCGGGGGGGTGAAAGGGCACTTCAAGTGGGAGAATCAGTCTTACTGCTGTTCAACCTGTAATTGATTTCACAGTTTATTGAAATTTGACTTATTTTATGGCTACTTAAGCATTCAGTCCTATTGATGAATTTAGTAGGAAGAAAAATAATTGAGATTCATTATGCAGGATTAAGTATTCAAGAAATACATTTCAGGTTGTCCTTAAACAAATGAAAGGGCAGAAATGTCGTTGCTTAGTGCATAGATACGTTTCAATAGATCCTAATGGAAGTTCATGCTGTGAATTATCTAGGGAAAGCCCTGGGTTTTTTTAGAATCATAGTCTGAAACTTTGGTCTTTTTCACTTCTAAATTCTCAAAAGCAATCTAGTGACCAACTAACATGATGTATGATGTTTAGCTCACCAGTTCAGTTTATTTTAGCCTTGCATTCACATTAAGTTAAATGTTTAATGAGAAGTAGTCACTAGATTCATCAGGACTGCTATAATACGGCAATTCCAGTAATTACTTCTAATTTCATAACTTTTCTTTTATGTAGGGAATAGGTAGGATTCCTAATGTTCTTAAAATTGAGACACCCACCCCCCCCCAAAAAAAAAGAAAAATGTTGTGGACTTTGGTTATATGAAATAATATGTTGAAGTGTATCTTTGCTGTTTCAAACTCTCTTTATTTCCTTTTTGTCTATGGAACTTTGTTATGATTACAGCTCACATTTCTGCCCTTTATTCCAGTGATCTGCTGCTTGGTAGCATTTTTTATTGGCCTGATCTTTGTGCAGCGCTCTGGAAATTATTTTGTGACAATGTTTGATGACTACTCAGCTACTCTGCCCCTGCTTATTGTGGTTATTTTGGAGAATATTGCAGTCACCAGAATTTATGGAATAGACAAGTAAGTAAAGGAAATGTATTTCCCTGTCCATATCAACAGTATTCATTACAGTAATTTTTTGTGATGTACACATAAATACAAGTAGAAAGTGGGTCAATCTGGACATGAATCTAGTCTACTACAGTTTTGGAGCAAGATATACTGCATCAAGACAGTATAGTGAAACCCAAAGAGCAATTGCAAAGAGGCAAAATTAGAGAGTTAGAAAGGAGGCTGGATATGCAGGTATGAGGAAATTATATAGAAATACAGCAAGCGAAAGATTTCAAGAAGTTATAACCATGGTCTAAGCAGCAAATGAGGATGAGTATTCTGACAAGATCTGCAGTATATTCCAGGCAGCCTGAGAAAGGATGAAAGCAAACTCTAATGACAGCAAGAAAAAGAAAGTTCCAGTTTATGAGCTAGATTTAATTTGGGGTGTTGTAGCACTTAATTGTTCTTTGCATTTGAGAGAGAGGAAATAGAAGAAATGATAGCAAAGAATAGGGCTGAAACTGAGTTGGAAGGAGCACGGCTGACAATGAAGTTAAGTGACTTTCTATCATTGATGGCTGAAGAGGGACCAAGTCCCTCTAATTTTTTTACGTCTCATGACAGAAATCACCAGAATGTGTTTTAACGGAGTAGAAGTTATCCAAAATAACTCATGCCATCCACAGATAAAACAGAGTATGCTATACTAGCATGTTGAAGTATTTAAACATCTGTGATTCCTTTGCGTGTACAAAGGGTGACATAGAATGGGTGGTTTTTCATTTGACTTTTCACTTGTTCATTCGGAGTAATCAGCCAGTCCCTTGCCATAATGAAATAAAACTATAATAAGAAAATTCAGTTTTATGGTTTCCAGACATTGTTTCTGGTTTACGCAAGTAGACCAGGCACTACTTACTCATTAAGGAAGAATTCCCACTTGGACCACATGTATAATCCTATAATTGATCACATAGACATGAAAACACCATGTAGATGCTTTTACACATGCAAATAAAAGACAAAACAGATGACCTGGGTATCAGGTTGGTAATGTTCAATCAGGTGGAGTTCCACTGTGAAGGGAGGTAGACATGCCAAAAGTCAGCAAGTTACCTGTGAGGAAGTTGGTGGTTAGGAACAGCTAAAATATGGTAATACTTTGCTTCTGAATCAGAGTGCAGCAGATCCATGTTTTCAGAAGTTGTCATTGGCTGTGATAGCACCACGGGGTCATACTCATAGATGAAGATCCAAGTGTATGTCTTATTAGGCACATTGTCTTTGATCAGATAGGGGAAAAAAAAAACCAAACCCCAACATCCAAAGGGATCACAGCCAAAGGATAGAAAAAAGACAACATGTGAATCCCTGTAGTTAAGAAGGAAAACCTGCTATGCTGGACTCAGTGCTAAAGGAGCTTGGTAGCTTTTGAAAGAGGATAAATAAGATGGAGATGATGAAAGACTTTAAAGTGAAAATAATAGATTTATGTTTAACTGGATGAAGAACTGGAGATCCCAGAAAAGAAAAGGCTATCTATAGAGGGCACAAACAGTTTGTAAATCAAGCTTCTTTTCAACAATGTGTTTCACTGCAATGTAAACAAAGGATAGAATACCCCAAACTATACACTTCAAAAAAATTTTTGAGAGTTTTTATGACACTTGACATATGTAACTGCTTTGAAAACATACTTATTGCTATAAGAGCCTTTTTGAGACACACATTTCAAAAGGGAGTGGGACCACAAGGGAGTTAAAACAGAATCAGTGCTTGTGCACACTCCAAAAGAATTAACTAAAAATATTCTCTCTTGTTCTACTGGCTCTTGAACCACATACTCCTCTGTCAAGAATGCAAAAATAGGAGTTTTGTTCATATCATAACTTGCAATTTTGAGGCACAAGGAGGCAGATTTAAAACTTCACGAAGTTTTATTTCAGCAACTTCTATGATGCAAACCATAGCTTATGCATAAAGTTTAATTTTTACACTGCAGCACACATGTGGGTGTGAAATTAATTTTGCAGAATCTGTAAGATGTGCTGGGTTTATATATCTTCAAAAGTAATGACACATGCCTCAGTAAACAATCCAGTAGACAATAGAAGAAGATGTAAAAAAGAATCTTATAAAAGAAAGGTGAGTTTAAGTATCTTTCCAGCACGGTCCAGCATGCAGTTTACTAAGTCACTGTACTGTGTAGTGATTCCGTCTGTTCACTTATTCTGAGCTAGTAATACAAGCTGTATTTTTCAGCCCATCACATAATCTAAACTGCAGCCATTTTTGTGCGTGCATTTTTTCAGTGTATGTGTTCCCTCAAATTAGGTGCTCTGTGTCAATTATAGTACTTGAAATCTCAGTGTATGGAGTAATAATGACCTTTTATTCCCTTCACAGATTTATGGAGGATCTGAAGGATATGCTTGGTTTTTCTCCAAGCCAGTATTATTACTACATGTGGAAGTATGTTTCACCTTTAGTATTGTTATGTTTGCTGGTAGCTAGCATTGTCCAAATGGGATTGAGTCCTCCTGGCTACAATGCTTGGATTGAAGATACGGTATGTATATAACAGATGCCTTCACCATCGTAATGATCATATCTGAAGTATTTCAGAAGTACATGAAAATACAAAAAAATTTGCAATTAGAAATTCACAGTCCGTATAAATAATGACATGGTTGTTTTTATCTTAAGTAACATTAATGTAAACCCAAACATTTTTTAATTTTAGAGTAGTTCTGCTTTAAAATATAATGGCTTGACACGAACCTTCATGCTTTTTGTGACTTTTAGTTTGCTGATGTGAAAGAAATTCTTAAGGGTGGCAGAGGTTGTTCACTTTCATTAAATTTTATTTTACTACAGAAAATAGTTGGGTGATGACACTGAATAAATCATTTCAGGTATCACTTCAATTTTTTATGTGGAATTAAATATTGAGATTAGCCATGTCATAAATTTTCCCCTTTGGGAACACATATCACATTGTAGGTAACAGGCATTAAAACCTGTCTCTGATAATGTTTGATTTGTAAAAAAACTTGTCTCTCTGAACAGCAGAGTCAGTGCTGCGTGCTGGCTCCAAAAAGAGATTCAGCCAAGGTAACTCCTGAGAGTTCTGCTAGCCCTCAACTATTTCTGCAGGCTTGTCATACAAAATACAGGGAAAGTAAAAGGTCAGAGAAATGAATCTCAGGGACCCCTCTGAATGGACAGTTGTCCAAATTAGCCAGTGGAAAAAAATTAACAGCAAAGGCAGGTAAAGTGTAAATACAAGAGATTGGATTTGCTATAGCTAGACACCTGCCTCTAACCAGACAACCACTACTACTTTCTCAGGATTCTCAGAAAAAAGCTCTTGTTATGTTTGATTCTTGCCCTTAAAAATTAGAAAGATAAATACCTTAGAATACCAAACATCCCGTTCCTTTCCATGTATAAAATTAAATGTTAATTGAGCTACTAGGCAAACAGAGTCTGTTGGCCAGTGATTCATGGATGCAGTAGAGGTGTGGGGTGCCATCACTGCCACAGTAAATGTTACAGTTTACATGAAGTTTGTACAAAGTTGAACAATTCCACAGGGTGATCTGACACAGTCCCTGTCTAGACCAGCTATTAGCCTACAGAACAAGGACTTGCTTTCCAGGCAGAGTTAGATACCACTGTACACTCGTCTATTCTGAACATCCTTTAAAGGATCAGGGAACAACTACAGACAAATATAGCAGAAAGCTTAACGTGAAGACCTTGATTTGGGTTCTGCTGGAGTGCTCTGAGCATCTCAGGCATCTTTCTCCAATCCTACATCTATCCATGACTGTTCAAATTTGAGATCTGTGGTGATGCTCACATTGTAGGTGCAAGGTGACAAAAAGATGAGTATGTGTTTGAAAACTGCAGGCCTTGGTGAGGTCTGCAGGTTTGCCCTTTTTTTAAGTAAGTGAAGACGTATTAATAGTTTTCTCTTGGCTTGCTCAGGCTACAGAAGTGTTCCACAGCTATCCAACATGGGGAATGATTGTCTGTATATCTCTGATGGTGTTGGCCATACTGCCAGTCCCAATAGTCTTCATGGTGCGCCGTTGCAACCTTATTGATGACAGCTCTGGTAGTTTGGCATCTGTATCCTACAAAAGAGGCCGGATAATAAAGGAACCTGTTAATCTGGAGGGAGATAATACAAGTCTGATTCATGGGAAGAGTCCAAGTGAAGTGCCATCTCCAAATTTTGGCAAAAACATTTATCGAAAACAGACTGGATCACCAACTCTGGACACTGCTCCAAATGGACGTTATGGTATTGGGTACCTGATGGCAGATATGCCTGATATGCCGGAGTCTGACTTGTAACTGCAGGAAAAAAAAAAGCTGTTTGTTTCTTCTCTCTCACTGATTTCATTTACTAGGGTGCAATCTCAGGTGCTCCATAGTGACAGTCTTTAAAATGTCATGACTGTACGTACAGGTTGAGAAAACTCCCTTTGGATTTATTTTTTGGGTTTTCATTTGCACTGAAGGGAACAGTCAAAATCAACGGCAGCCTACATCTGCCAACATAGCCAAGAATTTGATTTTTTAATTAATTTCTAAATTTAAGGCTTTCTATCTCTGAAGCCCAGGTCTCACTCAAATGATAAATTTCTGAGGTAATATCACTGAAAATCCTTTTTTTTTCTGCTTTCGGGTTACCTCCCCAGTATTCAAAGTGAGCTCGGAAGTAGTTCACCAAACCCGTGTTTGTGCAAACACTTGTATATACCTTATGTAGATACGCTGTACTTACTTTGTTAGCACTGATAATTACTTAGGCTATTATCTGAGTAAAAAACAAACCTGCAAACTATTTTCTTATATAATATCTGTATAGAGCAATAGTATTAGAAAATCAAGGAGTAGACTTACAGGAAGGCGAGCAAAGATTCCCTGTTCACTGGGGACTGCATAAACTGTGGCTGTATATTTTGTGTAAAATATTTGCTTTTTCAGTGTGAAAACAATGTAAGAGTGAGTCACTCCAAGGATCTTAAGGATTGTGCAGATTCTGCATTTTTTCTATGCTGTGTGCCTAAAAAAGACCTTCTTGATATTTATTGTGGTTACAAGATTACATATATATTATATTTATA